AAAAAAAAAAAAAAAAAAACGGCCTCCGATTTCATTTGCTACCACACAAGTAAGGGAAAAACCCCTAAAAACAAGCGTCTCCCTCACATGTTGATGCAGTTAATACATGCATGAATGTCATTAGAATTAATGCCCATTGGTGTGGGAGGGGTTCACAGGCGGGAGGGAGACACTGAGCTACAACAGCACAAAGCAAAACAACTGATGTCCTGTTTAGACACAGAGCTTTTAAGGTTTCATTTTTTTGGCCACTCGAGGGCAGCAGAAACAAGCTGTAAACACAATCTGACAGGTTATCGTATAATACGATATAGTAAACATGTTAGCCAACAGTAGACATGGAGTGAACATTGTGATTATTTAACAAAGTAATCCCAAACTCACTACAGACTAAAAACAAATGTACAAAGGGAGGGACAAAATAAGACTATTTCAATATTTACAAACTATAGGTAAACTGTAATCCAGAGATCCTGAGAGAGACGGTGTGAAGTGTGACCCTATCATAGCGCCACCCATTGGTTTGTTTGTGTTTGTGGACGCTGTGAGTTACACGGAGCCAGTGGAGGTGACGTACTGCCAGTTGAGCTGCTCTCATTGGCTGCGCAGTTTTGACTCGTCCGTAGCAGGAAACAGTGGCGGCTCGCCTGGTCACATACGATCTCCAGACAAACAGTACACTACTGACCATCTTCGTCAGCCACCAGAGGGCAATGAAGATGTTTTGCGGGGAGCTTTCATGTCGTCCAATGATCTGAATAAGTTGCTAAATTTGTCGCTTGCAACTTTTTAGAAATAAAGAGGATTTGAAAAGTCGACAAATCTAGCAAGAAAGTCAGCGAACAGCAACAGCGACTCTCTGATGACGACCAGCTGAGCACAGAGCTAACATGAAGAATAAATGTAATCATTTCATTCGTACTGATACATTTGTGTCCCAGGGGGTGAATGTTTAATATAATTCATCTGTTAAAATGATATGAAGACCATGCTGAATGCAACACCTCAAAGCAATGTCATGTAACCTATTAAAACACTTTACAATGTCTTGATTTCAGGTGTCCAGACTTGTTTCTCCTCCACGTGTCCCATTCTTTCCATCCACAGAACCGCCAACTCCCTGACCATTAACAACTGAAGTTCACACGATTTCCAGCCTCCGATCAATTTTACATAGCGTAAACATTTTGACTATAATGGATATTCTGCAGGAAATCAAACACCTCATTTCTATAAATAGCCTTGTGTGCTACAGTTATGATTAATCATGGAAACTTCATAGATTACAGCACAGGAGTGGATAAAATGTGGGTACTTACTGGTAGGTCTGTGAAGGCAATACCTGCAGAGGAAAAGAGAAAAATGCTTTTAATTTCTACACACACCAGGAGGCTGTGAGTGTGTTTACAGGTACTGAGGTAATCTGGTTACAATCATCTTTCTGTAGTAACCTGATTTCTTAAATGTTACCCAATTATCTGGGTCACAAACCTGGTTCACATGGCTTCATTTAACTGGAGAACCTGGTTTATACAGTGCAGAGCAACAAAAGAAAGGACTGTGACTCTAAGCACCCTTGTATTCAAAGTAATTCCATCTGATTTCAGACTAAACTACAATACATAAATACGCCGGTTTGTGCCGTTGAACAGTCGATCATTTGTAAGTAAAAACTTTCCCGCTGGAACTTCCGCTGAAGTCATGCAGTCAATGCAGTGGGGAGGAAATGTGATGAGCGACCAGCTTCATGTAAATGTGGGCTAACCAGTAGCCAGGTTACTACAGTGCAAGTAAACAAAGCCTCAGATTTCCTCTGGCAACTTGATTTCTCCAGACAACCTGGTATCTCGTGAGCATGAGGGTCCCTCGACGCTTCTTTGTCTGGAATTTACGCTTTGTTGCCTTTTGAGGAACCCTGAAAAGCTACATATTTTAAGTCCAACTGCAATCACACTGGCATCCCTTTTTGCACTCAAAAGGAATGTCAAAATATGTTGAAGGTCTTTGGGGAAATGTTCCTTTTGGTTTCAGCCGGCTGCAGGGAAGTGTGCGTGTTTCACTGACAGCAGCCTCCAGGTGTCGGCGGGGAGCGGGAGAAAAAGTAAACTAACTTGCACTGCAGCTACAAGCATTGGGCACACAGTGTGTCAGTGGTCCTGAGGCGTAAAGGAGCACAGCAGCATCTAAACAGACCACAGTGATGTTTGCAGGTAAGTTTACATGCTGAGCAGCTAATTAGTCAACTAGCCTGCAAACAGACGGTAGCTGTGCACTCTTCCCCTGGTCAATGTTTGTTTGTTCAACAAGCTACGGTGCAGGACAAGATGTGTGTTCATGTTGGTTGTTTATGTTAGATAAGGAAGAGATTTCAGCCCAAAGCTAATGTGGGTTGTTGTTCAGAGTCTGTGGCTCTTGTGTTGTGTATCCGGCTGCTGATTGGCTCAGTGTGACTGTGTCTGCCTACCATACAATAACGCTGACGACACTGCTTTATGCCAGATTTGATTGGCTGTACTAATGGACAGGGCAGCATCAATAAATATATAAAATCTTAATTTCTCAAAAGGAGAACATAAGTGATTTAAATCTGCTGTAGCAGACAATAAATGAAGTTCCATTTCAGTAGGACAGTAAAAGTTACTTAAATAAGTTACGCTGCCCTCTAATGCACCCGTCACCCGTCTGTTCATTCAAGTGTTCAATACTAATTAAGGCTGCAACAATTATTTCCATTAATCGATTCATTGGTCAATCGTTTTCTTAATTAATAAAATGTGTCCACAGCCCAAAGATTAATTTTACCGCCATTAAGGACTGAAGAAACCAGACAATATTCACATTTGAGAAGCTGAAATCAAATCAGTGAAATGTTCCTTAAAAAAACAATATCGTTAATTTGCTTAATAGTTTTGAAAAGGAAATTAAAATGTGTAATACTATAATAATTGACAAATGTGAACACTCGTGTATGTGATTTCTTTTTGCAGGGACTTGTGTATAATGTATAAAAGTGCATATATTTTATACTGCATCATCTCTGATTTGTGTTGACAAATTGAAATGACCAAAATAAACAGTTTTTTTATTAAGAAGTTGACAACCATTTGATTAATTGACTAACTGCTGCAGCTATACAACACAAATACACTACAACACCTCTGCACAGGCAGGTTAAACCACAGGCCCATACAATAGAACAGGCTTTGGTTTCTGAGACTCTTACCTAGGCTGTGGCCATTCTTTGTGTAGAAGCAGGTATTGTTGATGAGGTTAACGCAGCAGCCAATCACGTCGCCCGTTGTAAACGTGGGTCCGTAGGGTTGCCCGGTGCCGGAGGAGCAGAAGGAGTGGCCGTCATCTCCGTGGTAACCGTATGAGTGCTTGTCCCAACCTGAGGGACGTGAGGTGTCAGAATAAGAGCGCTGTGCAGGCAGTGAAGAGGTGTAATAACACAACAGATGGTTCATTCTTAGACTACATTTCAAACCACAGACATACAGACATACTACAGACATACAGACATACTACACACACACAGACACACTGGAGTCGAAGGCCAGAGAGCAACATGGACACAAGCTGTCCCTTGCAAACATGAATGGAGTGGAAACATACTGGAATTGATGTCACAAGAGCAAAACCTATTAACTTTTTCCATCTAGTGTTTACAAAACTCCTGACATTTGTGACGAATAATACAGACCAAAGAATTCCACAGAGCCAGACTCCCATGGAGGACTTTAGGGCTGTAACCAAACCCTCTGCAAACTAATTCAAATGCTGTGTGAATGTGTGAATCAACCTGAAGAAGAGTTTCAACTAACCTTCCCTGTCTCCTCAAGAAGACTGTCAACCAAAAACTGTCAACAACAAGAGCCGGACTATAGAAAGAGGTCAACAAAAACACCTAATGTGTCGTCATGCTTATGATTTCACTGTAATACAAGTAAGTGAACTCCTGTTTGAGCCATATTTTGGGGGGGGAACACTGCAACAGTACCAAACAAACCCCTAGTTAGAAAACCAAGCTTTGCTTTGTAAAACTTGGAAACGTAGCCAGGCCAAAAATAGAATTGCTTTGTCATTATTCCAGAGCTCCAGTAAATACTGGTGTCTTTTGATGACGGAGACCTGCAACAAGAAGCTGTCACTCAGGGGCTGTGAAGCGTGACCTGCAGGGGTTCGATGCCCCGCTCAGGGACACATGACTGACTGCTGATAGACACTATGAGGAGTTAAAACCTAGGAACTGGGACTTTAAGTCACTGGGATAGCTTGTTGTTTTCACTGTGACTGCAGAACGATACGACTCAGAAGAGGCTCTCTGAATTTGGAGATTATTTGTATTTTGGCTCCAATTTCCATCTTGACTACACATTAACCTGAGTAAATATCACTTGTTGGGAGCATAATAGGAAAATGCACAGTTGAACAAAGCCATGTATCTGAAAAGAGTCCTGCCTTTGTCTTTGATACTTCCCTTAATACTTTGAGAGTTGTAAAAGCTCCAACATACTAGGTATGTAAAATGTCATGTGTTGGTGTTGAGAGAGGGGAGACAGAAACATCCTCTGCCTCGGGGCTGTTTAACATTAGAAACCAAGTGGATCCTCATCAGAGGTAATCCTGCCATCGCCACATTCATCACTGGAAGAGAGCTCTCGACTCTGAAGCAGTTTGGCAACAGTCCCTCACAATTAACCAATTTTCATTAGCATCTATCCATCAGCGGGGACTCTGCAGCTCGCTCTGGGCCTCCTGTTATCTTTGTACGAAGAGACTGGAGCTCCTGGGCGAGTCTAGTTCTCAGACTCCTGTTTGGCTCCACATCTACCACCACTGTCTTAGTGGTACCGGTCATGGTACCTGCGTTTCCACTGCACGGTACGGTCCGACTCAACCTCCTCCTCCTCTCTGGTTTTCCATTATAAAAGGTTGTGGATAGTACCTGGTACTTTTTTGGCATCACCTCAGTTTAGCTTCCAGTCAGGCTGATCAGTTACTAAACAGGGAGTGAAAACCACTGCAAACCGATGATCGGTCAGAGAATCACCCCTTCGATATGCTCCATCCCTTCCTGTTTGGGTCGCGTGGAAGATGACGGCAGTTTCATGTTGCGTCGCTATGGTGATCAGCTATGAGTTTCAACTGCGCACATTGTCTGTCCTTTGTTGCTAATATATATTTGTTTAAAATACCATATTTAATGAAAGTACTAACAATATGTCTCTGAAAGTATATGAATGTATCTGTGTCCATGTTAAACTAACTTAACCTTGCTGGATTTTTGAGGCCAATAACTACTTTAAAAGAGTTTTAAAAAAGTATTAAACTAATATATTGTTAGCAGTAACTTCAGAGTCAGGACACAGCCAGGCTAGCCGTTTCCACATTTCCTGTTTTTGTTAGTTATCCAGCTGCTGGCAGTAGCTACATATTTACCCGACAGACACAAGTACAAATAGATTTCTCAAAATATCAAAAACCTTTTCCTTCGACGTATTGTTTCTAGGGATGACTAAAGATTTGGCTAATTACAACCTCAGTCCTTGTGCAGTCAGGCCTCTGCGGTCTCTCTCCAGGTCAGAGCTGCTGTAAATCAACTGGTGTCTAAAGCTGTGAACCAGCTCCAGTCCTGGTGCTCATTCTCCAGTATCAGCTCCTGTATAGTCAAGGATAGTCCCCATCCTTTAGCTCTCAGTCTGGGTAGACTCAGCTAATAGGACCGCTAAGTAGCTTATTGCATCTAGTTCAATGAACACGTGCAGCACAATGTGTTACAAGAGAAAAGGCGGCGCCTCAAACTTATTGTTGCCATTTCTGTACTTCAGTTTCTTGTTACTTAACCAATATTTACACAGACAGATTTAACTCTGATATAAACAGAGACTGCCTTTATTGTTTTGTCACTTCATTTGAGAAGCTTCAAATGAAACCCACAGCATATGTGAAGTATGATAAATATGACATCCTCATCAAAAACCTGGCGGTGTGTTGCCTTTAACAGTCTAACGGCAGGGAAATGTGAGCTGTTTCACTCCTAGAAAAGCTTCAAAATATTCCTACACACATTGCCCAACTCCCAAAAGTGTAGTAGGCTATAACCCTCAGGTGAATGTATCAGGAAACGTCATTTCCACACAGTCTGTCGTCATTGATCTGCATCAGAAGTGTACAATACACATCAAGTCTTGAATCCATGGGAAGGATCTTTGTTGTTCACATTCATTTGTCCGTCCGCTCCATGCTCAACACAGATGTGTAGAAGACCTGCACATCAGCCTCTCAACAATAAGAAAACATGCAGTCAGGTAACAGAGAGACAATGGTGCATCTACCAGAGAATACGTTCAGACTAAATGAAACCCACACAAACATAGTTAAAAGATCTCCGGTGTGATCTACAGTAGACACACAGACAGAAACTCCTCTCACCACACCCTAAAACACTGACACCAAACAAACACATACAAAGTGTCATCTTACCAGGGAGTCTGTTCATGTTTACACCCTGAGCGGAGAGGCCGATGCCCATGTACCTGTGGAACAGACAGTGAGGGTTATTGAGACAACATTTAAAATATCAAAGAGTAATCACACTTAGAGTCTGTGAGGTTGTAATAGTGCACATCCAAAAGGAAACACTGGATACTATTCTTACATCCTGATCACAGTTAAAGTGCTCAGATTTATCATGTAATATTTAAGATGTAAAGTTAGCATATAAAATCCACACTGGGTAAACTTCTAGCGTGTCTCTGTAACGTCTCTGTCTCCGCTCTGGTACCAGTACCTTCCTCCAAGTGCTTTGTAAACTTACTATGGACTCTGGGAATGGAATAATCTGCAGGAACATCTCAAATTAAAGATCAAATTAGTGTTATCCACTGATGAATGAGTGCATGTGGTTGTTACTCTCAAGCAGCCATTGTGTTTGAATAGATGATGCTGAATGGCTCCGACATCGTGCACACGTGGGCAGCGATAACCTCACGAGATAAAGGCGGACACCGTTTTTAGAGCCAGGTCTCGTATCTGCTCTCCACCGACTGCCAGAACCACGGAGGTTTCTGCTTATTTAACTGTAGATTGTAGCTGTTTAATGTCTCGTGTTGTGCAATGAAGGTTTAATCTGTTAATCACATCTTGAGTGGCTGATAATAATATTGATACATCAGAATATGGTCTAAAAACTACAGGCAGCCTACAGATGATCTAACAGGATGTAAACATGTCTGTGACTTCCTGTAAACTCTTTGAAGCCTGCTGGAAACTGACTTACAGCTCTTCCACTGTACAGGCGAGGCTCATCTCTAAAGATCTGATCAAGAATTCTGCTTTGCTGCCATGTTTGGTGTATTTCCAGGTAAAAACCGTGGACATCTTGATGCTCCCCAACATATTTTGTCTGTACGGTTGCCTCGCATTTAAGCTCTAGGTACAGGTGAGTGTGACAGGAACTCAGTCATATATCTTATAAGTGATGCTAACGAGACTAATGAGCTGTATTCTTCTCGTCTCTAACAAGCTGCTAGTTTTAATATTAGATTCAAATACTGAATGAGCTCATTTTATTTCTGTTTTCTAACCGTTGCACACACTACACATGACAGAATCCAATAAAATGTGGAGAATTCTTTTAGACAATAGAAGTAGTCAAGACATCTTGGGTGAAGGAGGGTCGAGTGTTCAAGTGACTTGCGGCTGTTCCACTGTAAAACGAGGCCCTTTAGATGACTGAAGTCTCAATGTAGGATCACAAACTGCCCTCTGGCCCGGTGAAGATTTTAATCACGGTTTCACTTTATTAGATTTTTCTGTCTTATGCAGATTCCTGATGTAAATTTCTCAAAAACACTTGAATAAACTCAACTAATGACTCCATCATAATGCTTAATGAAACGATTCATAGGGATTTACAGTTTGAGCTCCCTACAAACATTACATCAGCATCCATATGGAAGAGTTACCCCAATGTAACTACAGCTGGCTGATCGCTACCCTGGATTCAGATTAGATATTAACATTATAATATGACAGCCTGCTCAAAGACAGTTCATAAGAAGTTCAGGTATGCCTGTGGGATCTTTTCTTTACATGATTTCTGAATTAAAAGTGAATGAGGAGACAACCTGTTTTAGCTCTACCTCTCACCCTAACTCACAGGAGCCAGTTTATAACAAGTATTAAACTCCGATATACAGCTGTGTTGTACATTATGTGGATTTGGTTAAAAGCTTATGTAACTTTATGTCTTAACAACAAGCAGCTAGTGTCAGTGAGTCACACTGCTTCAGGGTCAGTGTGTGTAAATCCAGATTAGACTAGTGGATTGTTTTTATTATTACCAAGTTAACACTCTCTCTGCACACTCTTATGTGTGAAAAAGTGCCACACACGAGCATCTTATTTAGTTATTGTATTTCAGTTTCTAAGCCATAAATAGGATCAGCATGAGGCTAAAGTTTATCACACACCAGAAGAAAACTGTAGAGGAGTTGTCCCTCCAGTTTCATGCTTCCCATTTAGTTTTCTGTTGTGTTAAAACCATCACAGGGTTGTTAGCGTGTTAAAAGCCTCTCAATCATCACTTATGACCCACTACAAGTGTGTGGCGGTGGCGGTCACTGAGTTCTGGGTTGTTTTTGGGCGTCAACCTTTGGGCAGTGTGCGTTTAGCCCCCCGAGCTACCTCCTACAAAAATCTAACACGGTTACGTCACTGTCTCCATCTCTCTCTCTCTCCTCTGCTCTTCGTCTGTGTCATGGATGTGTAAAGGCCTCCGCACACCAACCCGATTATTATTATTATTGGCCGTCGGCCGTCGTCGGACAGTGGGGCGAGGTCAGTGACTCGAGTCGGTTCGGTGTGTCCCGTGCCGTCGTCGGCCTTCATTTTGGCCGATTCGACATGTAGAAAAAAGTGTTATTTTGGACTTAAGTCTTGCAGAAACAGACACTGCCATCCCAGGAGCCAAGCTGCTAATGTAGTGCTGTAAATCAAACGTTGCGGTCTTCGTCCTGCGTCCTTACCCATCTCGGCCTTTGCTGATGATCTTCACCTCGAAGTAGTAGACCCCGCAGGCTGCTGGGATGGGGTGGGTGGCCCGTACAGACGCCGCATCTTTGGGGGTTTTTCCATGACCTTCAGGAGAGGGAAAAACACAGACACAAGAGCGTGATTACAGCTGAGTGAGTGGATCAATCTATAGTCATAAAGAGGGACAGAGATACTGAAGACACACAGCAACGTAGACTGATGACCACATATTCTGATTCGTCTTTCATCGTCCATTTTGATTCACTTTAATTCGGAGCACAGCCGAGGACTGTGTGCAGACGTTTAGTATGAGGAGGGGATTAAACCCACAACCCTCAGATCAAATAAGAAGCACACTCATCGTCCGGTGTCGTCAACTAATAAATTCAGCCCCAACTATTGTGATAACTCATTGTTCAGAGTCTTTTATTTAATAAGAATGTCCACAATCTGGTGACAGCTGACTGAATATCTGCAGGTTGTGGACAAAACAAGACATTTGAGGACATCACATGGGTCTTTGGGGAAATGGTGATCAACATTTTATGGACCAAACAACTAATGAATGAACAGGAAATGATTGACAGATGAATGGATACTGAAAACTGAACTGGATGAGACCCTAACCCGTACACAGATAAACATAATGCTGCAGTGTGAAGAGGAAAACAGCCCGAAGCAGAACGAGGCCACTGTCCCAATATTTCCTCAGGTAAATTTATATAAGCCGTACTTTGTGTTAACAGTTACATAACTCATGTCTCATTTTGACATTTATACATGAAACAAGGTGTTGAGGTGGAATATAATGTGAGGAGGGGCTTGATTTATAAAAAAAGACCTCAAACCATGATGATTACATACAGGCAGTCTTATGAAAACCCTCGAGTATTATTGAGGTTGCTCTGAAGCAGCTACATTGTCAGCAGCATTATTATTATTATGGGTTAGATATCACAAATCTTTCCAGTGGCAGCTGTTACTTAGCAGCAGTTTGTGGTTATTACATCAAGTGTTGTTATTAATAAAGTTCTGAATGTCACGATTATACCTGGAGATACTTAATATATCTCTAAATGTGACTAATATCAGCTCTTTCTGCAGAAAACGAGCCGTTTACTTGGAAAACCCTCATTTTATCAGACTGTTTACATCTAGAAACCAGATCAGTTTGTGATACAAACAAACGGTTGTTGTTTACAAGAAATAATCAGTTTAAATGTTCACCAATCAGATGACACACTTTTAAACGGTAGCTGCTTAATAACCGGTGTTCAGGCCCGACCGGGAGTCCGTTCACAGAAGCAGCTTTAATGAGTGATCTCTGGGTGACATCGCTGAGGAACATCGAGGACAAACGCACTCAAATCAAACTTTTCTCCTCCATTTCACAAATGTTCCTGTGACAAAATGGTTGCCAGACGAAAACAGCATTCAGGTGAGGAAGGAGGAAGAATCTCACCAACAGAAGTAGATTTAAAAACTCTGGTTTCAGGGTCAATGAATCCACTGATTATTTCTGGATTTAAGGTTTGACTGAGGCCCTCCATGAACCCAGAGTCTGAGTAACCTCTTCATCTCTAAACACTCAAAGAAAGCAGCAAAACCTCATTTTTGAGACGCTGGAACAGCAAATGTTTAACATTTTTGCTTTGAAAAGGGCTGAATGATTAACATTTAACCTAAAAGTGCTTCAGATTAATCTCGTGTCGCCTTATTGTGTCTATTCAAAACTCAGATCTGTTGTTTTATTTAGACTTTGCAACCCTGGATCCCTTAATACTGTCGGTTTAATGTTGTGTAATCTCATATTCCTCTTAATAATGCTTATTCATCCGTTTACCACCCGCTGTAGAGTCAGTGTTGTTCTCAGGTAATACAGCCATTATTGTAAAGTTCTCTCAATAAATGACCCAGAAAGCCTCATTTATGAAGTTCTTGGGATCCAAATGACATTTATTGTAAACACTGATAATGTTCTCAGTCTTTAATTAATTGTCTGGTTCATATAATCGCAGAGAAAATGTGGAAAATGCTCAATTTTCTGACAAAACTAACTCCTAAAAGACAAGTTATTCAGTTTATTATTATTATTATTATTATTATTGTTGTTAATAAAGTAGAAGGACATATTTATCTTTAACTAACTGCCACTGACATGAGACATGATTAATGGATTATTAAAATAGACGCAGATTAAACAACCAATCATTTAAGTTCTCGTCCTTATGATCGTATTATAACACTTTAGCAGTATTTGTACATTTAGTTTTACTGTAAATAACTACTGGAGGATCCTGTTAAATGGGTAAACAACAAGGACATTTAATGACTGATAATTATAGATACTATGATTCACAAAATGTGCTTTTCACTTAACACAACTAACCATTTAATCCCAGATGTTGCTGTGGAGACTCTGCAGGGAGTTTCATGTTAAAGTTTACACTGTTTAAATCATTAAATTACAGAGTCACCTTCATACCTGCTACAGGGGGGTAAACAGAGATAAAACACTGTGGTTATAACAAGGAAGAGATAGTAAAGAGCCAGAATAGACACACAAACACACCCAGGAAGCACAGTTACACCTTTTTTTTTAGCCTTTTCTTGTAGGCCTGCAGCAGAAAAACCCCTTTTAAAAAGCTCTGCCAGGCAACCTGAATGTCCCTCCATATTAAAACCCTGAGCAGCAGACACCTAACCCACCAATACCTGCCCTGTCATCGATAACCACCCTCCCTGGAAGCCTCTCAGCTCCTCTGCAGGAGATTAATCTGCCTTTTAATCACCTCATAACGCTGCATTAGCCTCAGCACCGAGCCCCAGAAACACCTTAAATAATGTTCATTTGTTATATTTTAAACGACACACTGACACAGGAGAGGCGGGGGGAGGTAAAGGGCCAGTGGGTCCGGTTCTGGCTGTGGATCCACCTCGCCAGCTGGTCGGGTTGCAAGATGTCCTCTGTCCTGTTGTTGCTGATGAAGCTACGAGCCCACTTTGTTTTTAGCCCACAGCGAGCAGCTAAAGCTAAGCTAAAAGGGGGCGATAATGATAAATAAAATAAAAGTGCAGCGCCGGAGCGTGTGTCGGTACCTTTATAGTGCACCCGGAGGTTGTTCTGAGAGAGCCCGATGTAGCTGAACTTGTCCTTCGGGCTCCAGGAGCGCGGCAGCGGGGTCTCGCTCTCGTTCACGGCCGGGTAGAGTCTCCGGAGCCGCTGGTTGAGCTCCTTCTCCTGCTCGTTCAGCGCCGAGTCTCCGTGGACGACCACCGACATTAGAAAGCCACAGCCCGACGACTGCCCGGACATGGCTGCGACACGAGCTGTTGTGGAGCGGACTCGGCTTGTCAGCAACAAACCAGCGCCACTTGTGTGTCAAGTTTTTAAAAAGAGAAAGGAGGTTGTTTTTTTTTTTTTCAGCTAGGCTAGGCTAGGCTAGGCTAGGCTAAGCAAGGCAAAGATAGACTGGGCTAGGCTAGGCTAGGCTAGCTGGCTTCGCTGTTGAGGCACCCAGAGCTGTTAGCTCGGGTTAGCTCGGGTAAGCTCGGGTCAGCTAACCTGGTTTAGCGATCGCTCAGGTTGACATTAGCGGACACAAAGCCCACACAGACGCAGGCAGTGGAAGGGGGCTGTCTGCGGCGCTGGTTCGGGAGAGAGCGGCTGTAAAGGGCGGTTGTTGTCGGTTGTTGTCGCAGACGGAGCTACTGACGGATGTTGAGCTCCGTCTTTTGTTTGTTGTCGGAGCCGCGTCCGCTCTTCTGATTGGCTGAGAGCGGCCCCACTCACTTCTTATGGGAATGTGGGATCAACAGCAGATAGACGGTGGAGGGGTGGACCGGGACCGGGACCGGGACCAGACCGGGACCAGAGGTGCAGGGACAGGATGTCAGGACCAGAGTCAGGACCAGAACCAGGACCAGGACTCACTTATCATAGGGGTTAAAGGGGAGCAGGAATACATTATAATACACAGCCAGTGAGTCATCATCATCAGTATTCTGCCCTCATCACCCATTATTATTATTTTTATTTTTATTATTATTATTATTAAGTTACTGCTTTTTAATTTGTTTACTTTTATTTTTATTTAAAAAAAAAATAAAAATACCGAGACAGAGGCGCACGGTGATGACGCGGCAGGCACGCTCACAGTT